CACACACACACACACACACACTCACACTCTCTCACTCACACACACACACTCTCTCACTCACACACACACACAACATACTCAGACCTTTACAGCTTTTCTCAATTGCTAACACACTATAACTGATTTGTTTGGCACAATTTCCCAAACCATTCATACAGTTCCTGAAACAAAGACACGTTTCTCAAAACTTTTAACACATTTCACCTGTTTTCACACACGCTCCAGTTTGCTCAGTGTTTTCAGCTAAACTCCACACAAGAACAGCATCATTTTGCACAGGTTTAACCATGTTCTCATTTAGAAAACAAACTCACAATATAACTACCTCAAGAATCACAATATAAACACAAACAGCACACATTTATCCCTGTGTGAACATTAAGCAGCAAAACTGATGACACAGAAGTCAGAATCTCAGGATGATATGAACAAGAGCACAGCTGATTATGAGAAAATTAATCTGAAAAACTGAAGGGGACGGGGTCAGAGGGCATTTATTCCTGATGAAATAGACAGTGCTGTAGTTGATCATGTTCTTGTGCATGAGGACAGCTGCCAACAGGCTCATCTACAGGCTTCCAATACTACTTACAGATCAAATATAATGACAGAACAGTAGCAGTACTTCAGATGAGAGAACTTTTACTTTTTATATATATGTACAGTACTGTAAATACTGACGCACAAGTTGTACCCTCAAACTCATAACTGCTGAACTGATTTGTAGCCAAGTACTTCTTACATGTACTGTATTTTTGCAGAACTAAGAGATGACTCTATATTCTGTTGTGTTCATATGCAATTCTTTGGTGTTTGAGCTTTTCCTTTCTAGTGCTTTTCATCTACTGTACTGTAAGATCTCTACAGCAGTGTAATGAAAATAATATTTTCTTACTGTAAAGCTTATTGTTGAATTTCACTGTATCTGCTATATTTACTGTAACATGTATCTGCTCTAATGATGTTGTAAGCTGTAAAATGATACCCGATTGCCAAAAGAAGGTTTTGCAACAGTGTTCTGAACTGATCTCATTAGTGTGTACGACATTAGTGTGTTGTGGTGTGTGTTTCTGAGGGTGAAGTTTGTTTTTTTTCAGCAAGATTGAATAGTTTTGAGTGGAGAGCCTGAAAATAGGAAGTATGGGGAATTGGGTGAGAAGTTATGGATTTGTGTTTAGAGTTTCGAGGAAAGGAGTCACAATTTAAATAAATGTGTTTAAGCAATCGAGAAAAACTGTACATTTATTTATAAATTTAAGGGGGTCTGAATACTTTCCGTACCCACTGTATATATATATATATATATATTTGTGTGTGTATATTAATATATTTATTTTCATAAAGAATAATCACTGTCCTCAGTACTGTCATTACTATCATGTAAATCATTTTGTGGTTACATTTTCCAGAAAGAGTTTTGCTTGTGTCTGACGTGACAGGAGCACATGGTCTTTACCAATGCAGACTGTTTTAGATGTTTAGATATGAGACGATATTTTGAAGAATGTGAGTAACCAAATAGTTGTTGGTCCCCATTGACTTCCATATTATGGAAATAAAATACTAGGGAAGTCAATGGGGAGCAACAACTGTTCTTAAAAATATCTTCTTTTGTGTTCAACCAGAAAGTATTTGTGGTAATATGAAACGTTCATAGCCCTGGTCTTTTTTCCACAAGATCATATTTATCAGACGACGCAGAAGATACTGTGTTTCTTGAAACACTAAATACATGTTGCAGTATGCTGCTGAGCTGGAGAGCATAACAAGCTCCATATGGAGTTTAGCCGAACACAAAACACGTCATGTCACGTCAGACACAAGCTGTGCTTCTTTGAAACCAGTGTTCCTGTGGCGCAGTGGTAGAGCATTGCGTTAGCAGCGCAAAAGGTCGTGGCTTCAATTCCCAGGGAACACACATACAGGTAAAAGATGTATAACCTGAATGCACTGTAAGTTGCTTTGGATAAAAGTGCTAAATGCATAAATTAAGAAACTCTCAGGTCTTCAGACCTGCCTGAAGAATCATACAGATATTGTTTGTAAAAAACACCATTGGTGCATTTAGAAAGAAGACTCCCGTGTTTCTCAAGCAATCGCTGCTGGTGTGTGTGTGTATTCACCCGGAGAAAACAGGCAGGAAAAGGGGCCTGTTTTAGGGACTGTTCTGTTACAGCACTCCAAACAGACACCTTAACCCACTTCCTGCACAGCACTATGTGTGTGTGTGTGTAAGAGCGACACACCCCCCAGCCATTTGTCATGAATGCTCATTATTCATACTTACTGCCTGCCAGCGTGCACACGCACACACACACACACTCCTTCAGAGAGAAACACGTGAGCAGATCAGATCCGGAGGTGTGCAATTAGTACAGAAGAGGACATGAACCATAAAAAACACAGGAGCAGATGTAGACGGGATCCTGGGCGTTCGAGTTCCTCCTCCCAAATCACACCAATCTGAGGCCCACCTCACACACACAGAGTTTCATTGTGTAATGAAGAAGAAAATAATGCCGGGCAGTCTGAACATCATTAGCAATGCTTAACCTGATTGAGTTCATTCTTGACCTGTGCTGGACACATGAGGAGCTTACAGACAATACACTATCAACTCCTGCAACAAAATAACCCATGCATGAGTCTTTAAGTGCGTGAGTGAAGTGACATGACATGTGGCCAAGTATGGTGACCCATACTCAGAATTAGTGCTCTGCATTTATCCCATCCAAAGTGCACACACACAGCAGTGAACACACACCCGGAGCAGTGGGCAGCCTTTTTTTTTTGTTGCTGCGGCGCCCGAGAAGCAGTTGGGGGTTGGGGACCTTGCTCAAGGGCACCTCAGTCGTGGTATTGAAGGTGGAAGAGAGCGCTGTACATTCACTCCCCCCACCTACAATCCCTGCCAGTACGCCTTAAACAGATTTTATCACAGAAAAGTACATGTTTAAGGCATATAAACACATGAAAGGGTCCGAAACTCTCTCTCGCTGACTCTGTCGTCCTTATTTTCCTGTAGGAATTGAACATTTTGAATGCACAATGTGCTTAAGCTAATGACACACACAATTATAATCTTTCATGTCTTTATTGAACACATCCAATCAAACATTCACAGTGCTGTGGAAAAAGTAAATAAACTTTACCTTGTTGTTGTTACCAGGATGATCCACAACAGATTTTCTTTTGTGTTGAGTTTCATGAGTCATTCATGAGCCACTTGTTGTCCATGAAATATTATAATTGTTTGCGTGTAACTAGCTTACACACATTTAGTCTATACTTGTGACTTTAATGAACACTTTATAACCAAATAATGCAGAAATCCAACCCATTCCAATGGCTTCACCACATTAATTATCAATGTCTAATGAGTGTAAATGTAATTTTGCGCTCATGTCCTGCATGTAAGCGGGCTTGAGAAATACTCAAACTGAAAAACAGCAACGGCTGTGGTATTCGTCTTGAGCATTTAAAATACACAGATTGTGCTGGAGTTAGTGTGTAAATCATATTGTTTACATTTTAATATATTACATTCAGTTTTCACATGCAATTTGGGATGCTTTCATTCTGAATAGACTGACTGCGTTTACAAGAGTCCATTAAATTTACTCTATATCTTTACTTTGGGCAATAGTGTGTGTTGATTATATTAGCCATGAGCTAAAAAAGTGGAGGCGTGATATAGTTTTTGCAGCTGCTTATACTTATGAACATCCTTGTGGCTGTTTTTTTTAAGCAATTTGTTATGGATCAAAAAACCTTCAATGGATTAGTAAAGCTCAGTTATGAGAGTCTGTCTGTCACAGACGAGATGTGAAGTCCAAAACATTTCACAATGTTTTTGATAAACTGTGCTGATGATGATGGTTCATAGGTGACTGCAGGAGAACCACTGGCCTTTATCTGCTGGATCAAGATCATAAATGAATAAAGAATGGACTCTGACTGCTAAAAGTGCTCATCTGCATTTCTTGATGCTTCAGCGCATGACTGCTGACCTCAGCAGCTTCAGAAACACAACATCATAACGCTGTCAGCATCTGTCTGTGAGTGAACAGATCACGAGACCAGAGGTTTCCTCCAGAGAACAGTCAGCTACACGTACGCTCTCTCACTACTCGCTATTCACCAACAAAGAATACATAACGCATCCCAACAAAATTAATCTACATAGACTATATAACATGTCCCAACAAAATGGCTTAGAAAGTGGAAGTGGTGAAATGTGGTGAGCTGCAGGGCGAGTGAAACTACTGCAAAGGATTATTGAGAGAGGGGCTCGTCTCTGTGTGCCAAATTTTCTGAAAATGCTTCCAAGCACGAGTAGGTAAATGATAAATAACAAAGGGCCCAGAACCGAACCCTGTGGGACACCAGTCATGATTAGATGGCTTTGTTTGTAAAACTTAGCCAGTTTTGATCTGAGTATGACCTGAGAGATTTGAGGAATGAAGGACCAACAATTCCTATAGATTGCAATCTAGTATTGAATGTTGCTGTTAAATCAAGAACAATTGGCGGCTGACTAAATACTTTTTTGCCCCACTGTATATACAAGTCCTGAGTCAGCTGCTACCAATAAGTCAAGGGCAGTCTCAGTACTATGATGAAAACAAAAGTCAGACTTACGGCTGTCAAAAAAAATTTGAATTTCGAATATTCGTCGAATTAAAAAAAAATTAAAAATCACATTCTAATGCAAAAACATTGCATTCGAATTTTAGGTCTACGTCAGCCGTCAGGCAGCCTTATCAGTGGCGCACGAAATGCTACGACAATGTAAGTGTCATTGCATTTTAATGCTATTGTTAACCTATCCAGTTGAAGCCACTAGATGCGGTGCTGCTACATTGTTCATTCAATATATCGCGGAAAACGAGAGCATCAGTGTGGCGAATATGTTGTTTACGGCGAAACTGAAACCAAGCCATTCACACAGAACACATATTTATCACATTTTCTAGAGGGACATCTATCACCGTTGCACTCGCGTCTCGCACAAGAGAGCGGCATGTTTAGAAAGCCATGTAAAATTAATGTAAGTTCAACTTTTAAAAAACATGTCTCAAGACTTTATGGCAGTTTTCCCCCATCCCACTGCATCTCATGTTTTTAAATGAAGAAAGTAGCCTACTCTTTGTGATTGGTTTTCGGTCCTTTGTATTCAACTATACATAGATGCATGGTGCTGTTTTTTTTCTAATAGTTTAAGCAAATTTATTAATTATATATGGTTTATAAACATTATTTTAAACATTATGCACTTTTTTTCAAAGATAGTCGTGTTATTTTACTACGCTTTGAAGAAACGTGCATAATATTTTGCGTGATGCGCCCTCTTGTGGCCTCAGCAGAGAGAAGCCAAAAGCTTTTTTCCCCCTAACTGAAATTATGCCTTTTAAATTCGAATATAATTCAAATTTTGATAATATTTAAGTGGAAAATTCGAATTTTTAGTTTATAAAATTAGTTTTTCAGTCATTTTGACAGCCCTAGTTAGACTGAATGTAAATTAACATGCAATTAGGTGTCTGAAAACATCACATTCAGTGATCTTTTTCAAATATATTATTTCCATAATAAGTGCTCTTTTTTTTAAAGTTAGCTAAAGTGTGCTTCTTTTACACAAAGGAACAGAAAGCGACCAAAAGACCTTGTGGTTGAAAGATTCCACCAACATTTCTTGTCCTTTCTGCTATCCTATAAAAATGATCAGGAAAAGACGTGTGCCAGATTTGAGCTTTAGTCAACCGACATGCAATTAGGTGTCTGAAAACATCACATTCAGTGATCTTTTTCAAATATATTATTTCCATAATAAGTGCTCTTTTTTTTTAAAGTTAGCTAAAGTGTGCTTCTTTTACACAAAGGAACAGAAAGCGACCAAAAGACCTTGTGGTTGAAAGATTCCACCAACATTTCTTGTCCTTTCTGCTATCCTATAAAAATGATCAGGAAAAGACGTGTGCCAGATTTGAGCTTTAGTCAACCACACACGAGCACCTCAGACTAATATATCAGAGCTTGCATGCTAACAGCCACGACTACTAGAGACAATGTCAACATAAAATACATGAAGAAAACACTTCTGGGTGTTAAACCTGCTGTTGATCTGAAGTCAGTGGAGATCGCTGTGAGGACTTCACAACAACATCCAAACCCTGCGAGGCCATGTGCCCTCTAACCCCGAGGAACATGCTTTTGTTTTGACTTGAACAGTTCAAGTGAGCTCTTCAGCCTCTGGCAGATGACAAAGCCATGCTGAGATGTGTGTTTGTCCACTGCTAACCTCCTCGACCAAGAAAGAGAGGCAGGAAAACATCCAGAGGATTCCGGATGAGAGAGCTGCTCTCCACAGATAAACAACCTCTTTCCCTTTCAGTGCTGCCCATCATCCACCCTCTGCGGGGCAACTTAACCTGCGCAAAACATGTCTGGAGATACTACAATAACAGAGCCGATGTTTGTGTAGAGCACAGTCTGCAGCTACGCCCCGCGCTCCTCAGATCGAATTGACCTTTTATTTCGGTAAACCTCACAGCATCAACATCCCTCCACGTGGGAGTCCAGCGTACAGATGAAGGAACCAAACTGATACTCTGCTGATGTGGCTCTCGTGGGCCATCTTAGCAAGGCTTGGATCATTCCCAATCAACCTCAACCTTCATTAGACAAAACACACGTAGATGTTTGTCTGTTCCTCACACAAATCATAATTTACCTTGAAAATACATTCATGTGAACTGCTACTATGATGCTCTCTGAAGTCGCTTGCAAGCTCCAGTCCCTGTCAGTGCAATCTTGAGTATTTTACTCACAATATCTCCTTTTGTGCTCTGCAGAAGAAAATAAAGGCTAAAATCTGAACATTTCAAAAATAGCAAACATGCCTGATCTTTGACGACTGGACAGAATCACTTTCTGTGAAATATGTCAAATAAAACAAACTGACTTTGACTTTTGCTAACTATCATCAGCTAGTCTAGACTGTAAATCAGAGCAAAAATCTATATAAAGTTGTGTAGTGTAATCTAACCTAAAAGATATAGTTTCACAGGAGGAACTGCTGTTATATATTGACTCATATTTTAGCTGGAAGCTACAGTTTGAAGTTAAAAACCTTAATGATGGATTTGTTTCAGCTTTTGTCTTCTGAAGACATTAACTATGGACGGGAGTGGTGTGGATTATTTGTGGATTATTGTGATGTTTTCATCAGGTGTCTGGACTCTCATTCTGACGGCACCCATTCACTGCAAAGCATCCATTGCTGAGAGAGTGATGCAATGAAACATTTCTCCAAATCTGATGAAGAAACAAACTCATCTACATCATGGGTGGCCTGAGGGTGAGCACATTATCAGCTAATTTACATGACTAATTATTCCTTGAAGGCATACAGGTTTGGAACAGCATGAGAGATGGTAAGAGTGCTCACATTTGGGTGAACTATCTGTAATATTTCTTTGAGGACGTTCCTGAGACGTAGTGAAAGCAGAACAGAGAAACTCAGCACACTCACCAGATGAACGTAAGGCACGAAGTATCCATACAGGGCCGCAGGGATCCCAAAGGCCCATATGCGGTATCCCAGAGACCTCCAGATGTGCACGTTAAACACCCTCCTGAGCGAAGGACAGCGGCTGCCCGACTTGCTGCTGCTGACGGGTTTGGGCAGCAGGGGTTTGTAGGTAAATCCCGCCAGCATAAGCATGAACATGAAGATGCTCAGCACACGCAGCGTGTAGGCGAGTCCCACGCGCGTTAGCAGGCCGGACAGCATGTACGGGAGCGTGATGGTGAACACGCTGCTGCCCGCCGTCACGATGCCGTTCACCAGGCCCAGCCTCCGCTTGAAATAGTGACCTAGGATCACCAGACTCGGCTGATATGCAAAACTGCAGCCACAGGCGAAGACTATGCCGTAGGTGAAGTACAACGGCCCGAGAGACCTGCAGAGAATGACGATCAGACCGCATTAGAGAAGGCACATTTTAAATCAATGCTACTATTACTGTAATGCTACTAGTAATGTTACTATTAATGTAATTCAAAGCACAATTGTGAAATTTCCCCAGTGAATGTTTGTGCTCTCAGAATTCTTCACCATCTCTCAGCTTACGTTCACTGTAAGTACATAGGTTGAGTCTCTAAAGGAGTGAACCATTGCAACTCTGTGACGCTTTCAAAACATTTATCTGTTTCTCTGACCAATGCCAGATGGAAAAATAGATTTTTTTCAGTTCAGTTCTGCTCATGCTAGTGGCGTAAAAATTAAATGATTGTTTTGTGTTCGGCTAAACTCCATATGGAGCTTGTTATGCTCTCCAGCTCAGCAGCATACTGCAACATGTATTTAGTGCAGCGTATTTAAGTAATAAATATGTCGCTGATTGTCTCATACAGGCATATGCACTGTTAGGGATAATATGTTACAAACGAAGTGCGTTAAGTAATCAGCTTACTTTTTAATATCTTTACTGACTTTAATTGTCGAAAGCCTCAGAAACATATGTCTTCCCTCTTCGCCTTGACACAGACTAATATAACATGATATATACAACATGTGTGTGGAGAAGAGAAGAGAAGAGAAGAGAAGAGAAGAGAAGAGAAGAGAAGAGAAGAGAAGAGGACCAAGTACAGAGCCTTGTGGGACCCCAGTGTCAGACCAAAAGAGTGCAATGTTGTATGTTTCAGTTTAATTTATTTAATTGAACTCTGGGTCTCAAAGGACTGAGTATGATGAGTAGACATCAGCGAGCTGATCCGCACAGTCCTTCAAATCATGCATCAGAATAAAAACATTTTATTGTCAGGTGTTCAGGATGATCTCTATTGATCATCCATTGGATGATCAAATACACCATCCACTGCTTACAGACAAATCCATTGCTCCCTTTTCACAGTAAACATAAAATCACACAAGAAGGACAGTAGGGTATAAAAACGGATGGGTTTGTGCAACTGGAAAGCAATCACTCCATTATAGTCCATTGGCTAAGCACTAGTAAGCACACTCAGCAATGAAGAATGGTCACTTACCATCTACTTATTTAAAAAATGAGGTGAATATAATGCACTTACGTGACAAAGGAACTGGCCAGAAGTCCCACAAATGCCACCGCTGCCCCTCCAACTGCTGTAATCCGGCAGCCGAGCAGATCGGTGAACACACTGACGATCGGCGAGCAGAAGAAGATCATGCCCATCGAGAGAGAGCCGACCCATGCTGCATACACACACAGAGAGAGTTCATTTATATGAAGCCAGCAGTCTGAGTAAATGAAACTTCTTTTAGAAATATTTAAATGTGTTTACATGTGTGTGACAAACAGCTCATTCTAAATTCCTGTTTTACAGATTTACATTAAAAAACCCAACAACACAACACAGGCCAGATTGAGTCAAATGACAAGAGTGCATCAGTGTCCATCAATCCACATAAAACAAGAAAATAATCAAATGGGATGAAAGATTTTTCATTTGTAAAGCAATTCATTCAACAGATCATACAAAATGAGCGTTATTATTTCCAACATGAAATAGCTATATAGTGATGTATAACCCTACTGTGATTTACTGTAAAATGATTCATACTGTGCAATGCATTCCAGCACAGTCCTCACAGGATACTCTGTCTGTTTATTCTTATCACAGACACACAGAGAGAAAGATACTACACACAGATACACACAGACAGAAACATTAATCTAACACACAGACTTCCATTATATTTCTGTGACATGACATGCACCGGGTTTACTTTAGGACAGAGATTTTACATTAAACATCAAGGGGAGAGAAAGCTGTTGAACAAAAGTTACTTAAATGTCCTTAATTTAGCTTTTAAATGTTTTAGCATGCATTGGATGACAAGCATCACTCAAACACTACTGTGTTTTACTCGTGAGACACTAACATTCATTACTGTCCTTCATGCTGCAGTTTCACATGGGAAGTCAAAGCGATCATGTGATGATCTGGGTTATGGAGTCTCTTTCCTACAGAAAAACAAGGACACACACACACACACGTCCATCTGACTTCCCTAAAGAACACCACATATGATACTCATGATGTCCTATTTATTCTACTTTATTTCACCAAAACTGTCTTGAATCTGAGTGTGTATGAAAAAGCTTTTTTATGAAATTAATAAATTATATTAATTTTATAAAAAGACAAGACCCAGCAATGTGTGGCATCACTGTGAGACAAAGTGTGGTGCAGCTTCATCATGGCCTGTATTTGAATTCATATATTAATAATCAGAAAATCATCATTAAGACTAGAAAGAAAGAAAGAAAGAAAGAAAGAAAGAAACAAGGAAGGAAAAAGAGGAGGACCTGAGTGAAACCGTGGCATATGTTCCAGTCTGTAATGATAAAGATTGATAAACCTAGATAAACCTCGGGCTGTAGACTTCCACACTCTGCTTGCATCTTTTGATCTCTTGTGTTAACTACGGCTACTCACAAATCAGGCAACAAACTGGACCTTATTTACACACAACACTGCTCCACTGATCATGTGCTGGTTACTCCCACTTCCTCCTCACTCTTAACCTCAACATGGTTCCTGACACAATACATACCCATACACATGTCATCTTTCGACGTAACCTACGCTCAATCTCACCCTCCCGGCTATCTGCTATAGTTTCATCTTTGCTTCCTCCCCTGAACAGTTATCATCTCTTGATGCTAACAGTGCAGTGCTATTGATGCTTTCTGCTCCACTCTTACATTTTGTTTAGACACTGTCTGCCCCTTGTCTTCCAGGCCAGCTCGTACCCCCTCTTCTGCCCCTTGGCTGTCTGATGTTCTCCGCGAACATCATTCTAAACTCAGGGCTGCTGAAAGGGTGTGACGCAAATCAAAAAATACTACTGACCTTAATATGTATCAGTCACTCCTCTATTCCTTCGCTGCTAATGTCTCCACTGCTAAAAGGACATACTATCATAACAAAATTAACAATTCGTCTAACTCTCGCATGCTCTTTAAAACATTTTCCTCCCTTTGTCCTCCTCCTTCATCAACTCTAACAGCTGACGATTTTGCCACATTCTTCATTAATAAAATTAAAACCATCAGTGCACAATTTTCCACACCACAATCGGTCAAGCACATCTTACCAGCAAACATACACTCGTT